TGAGGTCGTTCTTTTTCCGTCGAGTATCTATGGAAACAAAGACGCAAGCAGTGTAGTGATCTTCCATTCAACGTCCAAGTGGTACTAGTTTGGAAGATTTATTCTTGCTGCAGCGCTCATTTCTTTTCGGTGTTTGAGATGTACAGCGCAATCCGAAATAGCAAAAGTGTGAAGGTATCAATTCATCTCTCCAGGAGCTCGCAAACACTCGTTTCTTGGATCTTTTTTGGGAGATACGAACAGGAGCAGAAAAGTTTCTTATGAGTTGTATCGACAAGGCCTAAAATAAAAGTGAATCATATTGAGGCAAAGGGAGCACAAGCCGCTGATTATTGAAAATATTCTGAGATTTGAAATTATGGCGATTGCCAAATAACAATTAAAGCTTGACTTTTTATACCTCAACATATTCTTACCACTCCAACATCGATACACAGATCTATCGTTGTTTGATTTTTGATATTATTTGCAAGCAATCGAGCTAGCGAGACGATTGCATTAGTTGAAGATAGTACCAATTAAATGCCTAAGTTTCATTTTCGTTTTCAAACTGAGTCCCTCAGTGAACTTCATTTCCATTACAATGCGAATTGCAATCATATGAGTGGCTTTTACTGCATAATCTAAGCGAACTTTGGGAAATCAGAGTGTCTAATTGCATTATTGGATGTTGTCCACTTTTTATAAAAATTCTTCTAAATATTATTACTTTTTGACATTGTTGGTAAGAGTAGCAATCTAAATGTTGATACACCGGATTGAAATGGGGATTGCTACTCGTGCAGAGTGCAATCCCCATTTCAATTTGGTCTATCAACATTTAGATTGCTTTTTCATTCATCAAATCTAAGTATCTATCTTCTTTGATTCGGTTTAAGAGCGCGAATGAGATGGAAACAGGTGCGTTTGCAAAAGAAGAATGAATTCTTGATTATAGAACTTACCCTTGTCAAGTGGCCTAACGAATACGGCGGGCGTAGGTACTTTGTCGTATCATTTTTCGTTTTTCAGCA